ATTGCTTGCTGTAATTTTGAGGGGAACTCGTATTAATTCAAATCTGGTGGAGGTTCGATGAAGTGGGTGAGTGCGGCTACAATTTATGGTTGATGTATCCAATACATACCAGAAGGACTCGCCTCCTCCTCCCAACTCTCACTTATTTCACATCACAGATGAAAAAGATTCTCAAAGTAAATAAACTTTAATCTTCATGAATTAATACATTACTTAGCTTGCTTCCTCCCTGGAACTTCAACTCTCTCTGTACTGTAACTTATTAAAACCCTAAACCCTCTTTCTTTTCTTGGACAGAACATCTATATGGCTCTCCCACTCCCACTACCTATACTCTCATTGTACAAACTGACTGAGCACAAACTCGGCAGAGTCTGAGTGTTCAATTACAGCACTTTATTCATTGGGCACCTACTCCTTCTGTACTGCATACATAGGCAGCAACTCGCAAGCAGCTGCAAAAGAAAACAGGTAAATCTAAAGCTTCACTTTGATGTTATCATCTCATCGCCGATTTAATTTCAGCAGGAGGCAAGGTTCTTCAACCATAGATTTGTCCTCTCCTTGATCTGGGTCTTTTTTGTTCGCAGCAGTGCCCACATCTGCAAGAGCTAGAAAGCAATGATATTTGACCACAGGACATGGTATAGAACAGTAATTTGCCAAATGGAAGACATTCTTAAATCATATCAAAGCATGGAGTTCGAAATCCCATAATGTCAAGCATGAAGGAAACCAATCCCCCCATGCAAATATCATATCAAGGCCCCGACAAGAAGAAATGAAAAAATTGGCATTTATGTGAAATTAAACCGACGACTGGGTTTATTTATTTATTTTTTGGTTGAAATCAGAGCGCTTCAGGGGCACCCTAACCCTTATCCATTAATAAAACGAGGAGTTGTCACTCCAATCAAATCAAAGTACAACCAGTAATTCATGAGAAGACAGGGAGTCGGAAACGAATGGACTCCCAAAGAAAAAGTGTGACCGAGGGAAGCTAGGTAGTCAGCTACAAAGTTTGCTTCCCTAAAAATATGCTCAATACGAACCTGCCATGGCAAAGATATCAAACGTTTGATCTCCCTCACACCAACAAAATGTGGGTGGTTTGGTTGAGCCGACTGAATCAGCTGAATGGCAGTCTGCGAGTCTGACTGTAGAATCACCTTCCTAAGCCCCAGTTCAAAAGCAATCTTGAGACCATACGCAATCCCAGCCAGCTCTGCACGGGTAATTGAACCCCCTCCAAGGTTCAAAGAAAAAGCATGAATGAAGCGGCCGTCGTCGCCCCTCACGACGCCGCCTGCTGCCGTGCTCGAAGGAGAGTAAATGACAGAACCATCTGTGTTGATGGTTGTCCAACCAGTCTGAAGGAAGCTCCCATCTAATTAACCTCCTCTCTCTAGTTCGCCCGTCCCCGAACAGGTGACTCTCCTTCTTGAAGGCCGAGATAGTGTTATGCCTGAGCTGCTTGGCGCGAAACTGAGTGTGCGTAATGGTCTCAATCTTGCCTTCAAACTGGTGATTATTCCGGTTTTTCCACAAGAGCCAGCATGTGCCTGCAAAGAGAGTAGCGTCGATGGACTTGCCACGACCAGACATGTAGTGAAGCAACCAATGAAATGGGTCAGCCTGAAAGAATTCCTGGTCTGGTTCATGTTCCAAGAACTCTGCCCACACACCTCTAGCATATGGGCAGTCTCGAAGGACATGGGTCACAGTTTCATCACCATCTCCACACACAGTGCATGTTGGTGTCATTGTAAGATGTCGTCTTTGTCGCTCCGCGTTGGTGAGAAGACGACCTTGAGTAGCGAGCCAGAGGAAGGCTTGAACGCGCCTGGTTGTCGGAGTAAGCCAAATTGCACGCCAAATGGGATGTGTCGCTGGAGGTTCCTCTTCCTCCGTAGTAAGATCATAAGCAGTGCGCATGGAGAATTTTCCCGATGGAGAAAGCCTCCACACCCTAATGTCTGGACCTTCCTCGTGGGGGACCGGATGGAGCAGAACCTGCGAGGCAATAAAATTGGGTAAGAAAGCATTTAGGTAGCTCACATTCCACTCACCATTCAACACCATCTCCGCTACAGTCAAGGTTTGAGCCTCCGGCGGTAGGTTGACAGCAAGCTCCGCAAGGGTAGGTCCATCCAACAGCCATCTATCGGTCCAGAACCGGGTTTGTCGACCACTCTGAATGTTCCACATGGTGGCAGCCGGTAGCAAGTGCCAGATCCTCAGAACTCCCCACCATAAATTAGAGATGCGTCCCGAAGTCCGTGGTTGCAAACCATTCACTGTCTCCTGCAAATATTTAGCACGAACAACTCGAGCCTAGAGTAACTCGGGCTCAGTAAGTAAGCGCCAAGCTAGCTTTAACATAAAAGCTTCATTAGTCCTTGTTGCCGACCGTAGCCCTAGCCCGCCTTCATCAATTGGGTGGCAGATGGTCTCCCAATCGACTTGGTGGATCTTTCAGCCTGATTCTGTGCTTCCCCGGATGAATGCTCGAGTTTTCCGATCGATGTAGTCTCTAACATTAGCGGGGAGGAAACTTGTCTGCATAGTGTAAGCAGGAAGAGAAGCAAGCACTGATTGCACAAGAGTGATCCTCGCAGCTAGCGACATGGTGTTCGCCTTCCAACCCGCCAGGCGGGTATCAATCCTGTCGATGAGGTCGACGTATGTCGCCTTCGATATCCTATCATGGATAACAGGAACTCCAAGGTAGCGTCCAAGGTTCATCGTCGTTGGGATATCAAGGGCTGCACTTAACTCTGAGCTACGAGCATGTGTAACATTCTTTGAGAAAAATACCCGAGACTTGGGTTTGCTGATTTGTTGGCCAGAGGCAAGGCTGAAGGTCTCAAAACAATGAGATATGGTTGTGATCTGAGTCGGGGATGCCTCGCCAAATAGGATCAAGTCATCTGCGAAAAAAATATGTGACAAAGATGGCCCATTTGTAGTAAGCCGAATCGGCTTCCAGGACCCGTTAGTGACACAACCAGAAATAAGATGACTCAACCTTTCCATGCATAAAGTGAATAAATATGGAGATAACGGACAACCCTGTCTCAAACCTCGTGAAGGGGAGAATGTATCAGAGAGGCCACCATTCCATTGCACACGCATACTGGGGGAAGTGATGCATTGCATGGTGATCTCGATGAAGGGTGGAGGTGCACCCGCAGCCTGTAGCGTGTCTCTGACAAATTCCCACTTGATTCGATCATAAGCCTTGGCTAAATCAACCTTGACCACCATCCAACCAGTACGACCTTGCTTGGAACGCATCGAGTGGACAACTTCCTGCAGAATGCATATGTTATCGGTTATTTGTCGTCCGGGAACGAAACTCGTCTGCGTTTCTGCAACCAGCTCCTGCATCAGACTCTTCAAACGTTCCGCCAGGCACTTGGTAACGATTTTGTAGGTGACGTTACACAAGCTAATTGGGCGAAACTGCTCCACTTGAGTTGGTGTAGGTACCTTGGGAATAACCACAATGATAGTCTCATTAACCTCCTTGATTCGGGTTGGATCCACCCAACAAGCGGAGACAAAATCCACCACCGATTTGCCCACAATTCCCCAACATCTCTTGAAGAAGAGAGGATTGAGTCCATCGATTCCAGGAGCTTTAAGTGAGCCCATCAATCGAACCGCTAGTTGAATCTCTTCTTCAGAAATACAATGCATCATCCCTGCCCACTTATCAGCGGCTACAGGTTTAAAATCGTGCGGCAATTGGGAGATGGATTGTCCATCATCAGTATAAAGAGCTTGAAAAAAATTCTTTACCAAAGACAAGAGTGCTTCCGGCTCATCAACCCAAACACCCAAAGTATCCTTCAACAGTGTAATCCTATTTCTCTTCCGTCGATGCATTGTTTTGGAGTGGAAATATTTGGTATTGCGATCGCCGGAAGAAATCCACTCCAGTCTAGACTTTTGACACCACATAATCTCCTCCTGCAAAAGAATAGTTTCCAACTCATCCCGAGCCGCTGTGAGCTGGTTTTCCACCTGAGCACTAGTGCTGCGAGTTTCCAACCGTTCAATACGATTAAGGAGATAAGCTTTCTTCTTTAGGATATGGCCAAAGACATTGACATTCCAAGCAGTAGCATCTGTGGCAAAAGCACGAGCGGACGATGGAAGCTCTTCTCCTTTGCCCCAAGCAGAGGTGGTCATTCGGTTGAAATCCTCATGTGTGAGCCAAGCCGCCAGGAATTTGAAGGGTTTGGGGCCACCCGGTTGGATAATGGCATTGGTGGTGATGAGAATGGGGCGATGATCAGACTTCACCCGAGCAATGTGTCTGACCGTAGCTTCAGGAAATGTCGTGGCCCAAAGTTGGTTGGTGAAGCCTCTATCTAGCCTCTCTTTAACGCCGTTGCGAAACCAAGTGAAGCTAGGACCAGTGAAGCCTAGGTCCATCAAGCCCGAGTCCTGAACACAATCATGAAAGTCACGAACTCGGCTAGCATCAAATCTCGCCCCGCCTTCCTTTTCTGATGCGTGGAGTATGGAGTTGAAATCCCCCGCTAACAGCCAAGGATCAAGGCAATCCTCAGCAATTATACGAATTTTCTCCCAGAGGGCACGTCGTTGAATAAGGCCCGGATTGCCATAGATTGTCGTAAGAAGCCACTGCCAATTTTTACCTCCCTTGACCTGCACATGTAGAAGTTGAGATGAACGTGTGATTTCGGTGATATTAAAACAAGCAGATTTCCAAAGAACCCAAATACCCCCAGAGAATCCCATAGCATCGACCACAATATTCTTATCAAACCCCATTTGGTTGATCACGTTAGTAGCTGTATTACCACTGATTCTAGGCTCAACAATGATAACAATATTAGGCTTGAATTTTCGACAATACTCACGAAAAACACGAATGAATCTATTACTACCGGCACCCCGACAATTCCAAGCAAATAATTTTAAATCCATTAAAAGTAATAGAAAGAGTAGAGGGTGGGCTCCCTGGATTATGAATCTTGTTTGCACGTCCCGATTAAGGGAGCAACACCATCTTCTGCTTGTCTGGGCGCTTGCTTGTTAGATTCAAGGGTTGTCTCAGTGCTCTGGTGACTAGGCACATGTGCTCTTGCCAACCCATCAGTATCAGGTGGACGTGCATGGAGGAAGCCTCCATTAGCTGGGACGGCCGACTCCTTATGATCCGGTAAAGTTTTCGCGGAGCGAGGAGTTGTATTTCTATTCAGATGATGGGATAGAGAACTCCAGGCTTCAATTTCCTGGAGTGTGAGAGTAACTGATCTTTCCTTGGAATCATTACATCTGTTGTGCTTAGCAGGAGGTTGAATTTTGATAGCTTTTGTTGTTGTGGCTATTGGGGTTCCTTTCTTTGTTAATGAAGACGAGTCTTTGGGTTTTTTCATTCTGGAAACAGCAGAGGTAGAGGTAGAGGTATGTTTGGGCTCCGATAGCGAGTTTGGTATCAAAGGAGGGAGGTTGAACATTTGGGTATTAGTCTCATTTGGGCCCAATATGTTAATAGTTGGAGGGTGTGGTAAGTTTGGGACGCGTGGGAGTGCTAGGGGGAGGGTAGAGGGTTGATGGTCTGCATTTTTATGATCGGTTACAGATGGGTTGGAGGTAAATTCGTGGGCCTTAGAGGATGTGGGTTTAAGCCCAATGAAACCTTTTTCTTGGGGTAAAAAATTGGTGGGAGGGGCAGCCTGGGTAGTTGAAGAAATAAAGTGTGCAGAAGAGAGAGTGTCGTCTGTCACTTTACCTTTGAAAGCTAGGGATGGAGGAAGGCCACTTGCAGTGTGATTTCCTCCTTTTGTCTTTTCTTCTACCGAGTGTCGCTGGCTGGCAGCTTTGGATGAAGCATGTGCTTGACTTGATTCAGCATGGTGTTGATTACGGTATGGGTCTCGGGAAGCTGACACGGGTGAGTTATTGCCCTTCTCTCTCCTTTGGATTTGGTATTCGTTGGAATTAATTGCGGAATGGGAGCGTTCTGCCCGGATGAACTTTTCGGTGGAGTGATCGGTAGGTATGCTGGTCGCTGGTATGCCGGCAGCGGTGGTGAGTATCGGTGGTTTGTTCTTGTTCGCCCGTCTGGGTTTCCTCTTCACAATCATCCATGGGCCAAAACCTGAGTCAGTGGTAGCGAGCTCTGATTGATGATCCATGGATTTCAGTATTGTGGAGTCCTGTTGGGTAGATGGAGTTGAAGATAGAATCTTGGTTGGGATGAGAGGTTGATGGTTTGGGATAGAAGTTTGAGCCCTGGTGATGACGGGTGATGTTGTGTTCTCCGATCCACAATTAGAACAATCATCTTTTCCATGGTTAATTCTTCCACAGGAGAAACAAACATTGGGAAGATTCTCATACTCAACCATTTGCAAGCAATCATCAAGATAGAAGTCTGGGATAAGCGGCTTCGAAACGTCAATCTCAATTGCTATTCTGGCAAATTTACCTCGTTGAGCAGTTTGTGTGTGGAAGTCAATCTTGATGAGCTTCCCAATCATATTCCCAATAGCTGTGAGGATACTAGTGTGATAGTACTGGATTGGCATGGCCGGAAAGCGCACCCAAACGATCAGCGATGGTGGGAGCTTCTCAGTAATCCGAAAACTAGGAGACCATTTTCTAACCACAAGATAGTGTTCGAAAATGGTCCAAGGGCCCTCAGTTAGGGCTTTTGTGTAGTCTGAGGCATTGGAAAATTTGGCCAAGAAATATCCTTGCTCGAGATCAACAATCTGCATTGTTCCCACCGGCTTCCATAAGTACTTCAGGCGAGAGCACAGGCTTATGTAGCCGATAGATCGCCCAAGCAGATTAATGACAACTGTTTGGTGCCATGGAGAACGTATTTGCCGTTGTAGTTGGATGGAGACACAAACAGACATCTTGTTGGCTCGGGTGCCAATGGTAATGTCTTTATTGCTTGGTACTATTTCCGGTAGTGGTTGTGCTGCTGGTGACGGCCCTTGTTCCACGATCCTCTTGTAGGACAGAGTTGGCATGGTAGATGGATACCCCGGAGATGGAGCAGTGTCCATAAAATCTTGAGGCGTAGGAGATGGCAGGAGATGTGTAGGAGAAGAAAAGTTCATGGATTCAGTTTCTGGTGGTTTTGCTGGAGGAAGAAGGGGTGGGAAGGAGGAGATGATCGGCGTTTCCGGCGGTGAGGCCATTTCTCCTGCAGCTACACGCTTATTTAATTAGTATTGTTCAAAAATATCTACCAATTTAGACTCTCATAAGAAGTTTATTTTTACGACTGGGTTTATTCAAACTAGATGTATGGATATTCAGAAAACAAAAAATAATAGTACAGCCACTTAAGGAAGAGAGAAAAGTTATGGGTCCCTCTTCTTAATAATAATAATAAGAATGGTATGAAATTCCAACCAGCAATGCATGATGCAACAATCAATATTAATCCTTTTCAGGGAAGACAGTGGAAAGAAGGAAGCTAGGGGTAAATGAGACTTCAAAGAGAAGCATCAAACAGTGAGAACTACAGTAGGGCATACGGAAACAGCAATACAACCATTAAAATACGCTAGTCTCCTCTAACTAAATGCATCTGCAGAAACTCATAAATTTGCAATTTAAAAGAAAAGTAAACTGGTAGGTAGAGCCACAGTTACTCTTTATTTGGATACCAAGATGGCGTAGTAAATGACACACACAAATGCAAAGTTCAGCACCACATGATGTGAAGTTCATTATATGGATTATAGCTGGCTATATACAAACTCATCTTTAACGTTTAACTTTTAAGGTTAACATAAGTAAAAGATTTGTTCCTTTCCATTTCATGGCATTTTTAACGCACAACTTGCATCGACATCTCTCTTTCAATCAGGTTTCAGGCCACTTAGAATGATTGGGGATTGGTTATTGCAGCACATCAGGAAAACCAAACTATATAACCCAGAAAGATTATGTAACGTATGGGGATTAGCCAGCCATCCAGAGTACATACTCAAAGGACAACCTTGGCTCAGATTTCTCCAAAGTATGAAGAAACAATTTCACCACAAATTGAAATTGGTGAATGGTACATCTGATCTGAATGCACTTACCATTCCATCGATGTGTAAGTACACAAATGTCTAATCGGCTGATGTGGATGCCTAATCAAGCTGGTTCAATTGCTCAGCCAATTCGATCGCTGTTGTATCACTCACAGCAAATTTTGCACTCTTGCACTGTAACAACTGTTTCTGAAGATTTTGTATGAGCCTCCTGAATTTGTTTGCAACTTTAGAAAATCGTAACACAATCAGAAGAAGGATAAGCTCAGTGAACCGTATGAGAACACAGCAAACCAACAAAAGGAAGATAATGTGCATCAGAAAGAGTTTCAGTTCTACACTTCCGCTGTCTCATATCAGAATTAGAAAGGCTGGATATGCAAGTATAGTAATTCCCCTGTGACACTTGTTTTCACTTCAATATAGAGATTTCAGTTCTCGACATGTGTAGGCTAATTCAGTACCTTTACTATGAACAACAGAGCAAATCTCCCCATACCATAATAGCCTCCAAGTTCAACACGCCTTATGCCTGGAAATGCACGTAAAGTTTCAATTTTTAGTCTACAGAGCTGCTATTGATCAAAATGGGGTGACTGAAAATCATTGCTTCACAATCCCTCAACAGCTTACCTACTTCTGTTGGAAATGAATAGCTTTGAAAGTTATATTGAATTAATTATCCAGTATTTTTCTATATACGAAAATAGAAGGATAATTAATAAAAAGAATATTATGGAGATAATTAGAATTAATTATCTTAATATAATATATTTTAATTATGAGAGTAATTATCTCCCTAATTAAAATGTGACTTATTCCCAAAGAAAGAGGGAATATTCTGGGTTTTCTGCTCCTATAAATAGGAGACGCCCCAGACCCTCTAAACACACATCAGAAGAGCAGAAACACGAGAGAGAGTGAATTCATAGAGCTCCGGTTTTCCGCACAAAACCGATGAGCAATAAATAAGAGTGGCTGTTTTATCCTGGAGGCGACCGGCTGATGGACTGCTGTGCGAATAACGAGGCTGAGCCGCGAACGTCTTAAAGAGAGCAACCTAGTCCTCGACTCAGCCAGATCGGTAACCCTAATTTTTCTGTTCGGTTTCTAACTAGAAGCTAATGGAGGGAGGGAGATCCCAAAGAAGAAAAGGATTAAACAGGGTTCCAGTAAAGTGAAACCACAATCCACGGTCTCGGCATGTTTCCATAGCACCACCGGCCGACGAACAATAGAAGCTCCCTATCGCGAATTTTATTTCTGGACAGCTGGCCCTGTCTGTTGGTCGGAGCTCCTCCAGCCACCAAAGTAACCAAACTATGTCTATGGAGCAGAAATTTGTAATTTAACAGTCGTGGCCCACAAACTTAAGTCAACTATCTCTTTTTGCGACTGGAGCAAACAATAATGTTCAATGGGTATGTCTCCGTTTATACTATAGGCAATTAAAATTCATTTCGTGCTTTACAGTCTGTTCGTCGTCTCTTCATGGATTGGTAGTGTGATGTGAATTTTAGCTCAGAGAGCATTCCAATTTGGACTCTTCTTGTCGGCAAACTTCAATTCAGGGCACACCTTGAGCTGCACCACATTTGGCAGCACAGTCGGAGTTGTCCAAACTGGAGGAGAGCAGGAAAAGAAAAACGGTCCGAGATGCTGCTTTAATCATTGAAATTACGAGAGGGTGCTGCTTCATGCGCACAACAACAGCAGCCCCAAATGCACTTCTACTTGGCAGTTTGAAACTACGAGAGGCTGCTGCTTTCATCATTGAAATTTGATGTGTTTAAGGTTTAACAGAACGAGGTTTGTAATTACACCAATGGCCAACGGTGATTCTGCCTTCAGCTAACACAAACTATCTATGGCATGAGCTGCTTTTGCAGAGGGTTGTCGAGAATGAAGAAGCTCAGCTTGCATTGTCCATACAGAGAAGGGTAAATAGAAGTGTGCAGCAAATATGCCGTCATGGCTCTCGACTGGAATGAAGATGCATTTTTCATTCACGATCAAGAGAGAATGGAAGACGAAACACCGATAATATCAACGACCAGAAAATCGCAATTCTGGATTTACTACAGTACACAGTGACACAATTCAGTAATTCACTATAATTTGAATCCCTAGATCCATGTTAGGTCAACCAAGATCAAAGCACTCACTTAAATCGAGAAATGCTTCGCAAACCGGAACCGATCACTTGCTAAAAATTCATCCAAATTAAAACCTGAAGAACAAGGACACCATTTTCCTCCACAATTCATCCAAAAGGACCAAAACCCTATCAGCAGCAATGGCAACAAAAGTTCTCCAACAACATTCAACTAACTAAGAAAGCTAGAGCCCAGAAAAAGCAAAAAGGCAATTGCATCATTAACTCTATCACACTAATCTTCAGTACCTCCCACGGCCGCCGCCTCTTCCAAACCCGAATTGAGCAACGGTAGCTGCGACAGGATCGATGGTTTCAAGCCCCTGCATATCACCCATTCCTAGAGCAACAATCATATCTTTAGTCTCCTTATCGATCTGAATAGTCTCGACGTTGATGGCAGACTGCTCGGGGACAAAGTCCATGCGGCGCTCGCGCTCTTCCTCTTGGAGCTTTAGGGAGATCCCACGGACGGGGCCTTTCTGGATCCGTTTCATGAGATGGGTGGAGAATCCGGCGATCTTGTTGCGGAGGCGCTTGGAAGGGATGATTGCAACTTCCTCCAGGATCTTCTTGTTCGTGTGGAAATCGAGCGTCATTTTGGAATAGTAACGCTCGATCACCTGGCGAGAGGATTTCTTCACGGTTTTAGTTCGGACGCGACCCATGGCAGCTTCTGCTAGTGCGGTCTCCTCTCCTGCTGCCCCTGCGCTGGGAACGAATAAGCCTCCGAGTTTCTGCGCGGAGAAGACGAGCTGAAGGTCAAGGTACAAGTGTAAAATTAGGGTTTCGCGGGACTGCGGGAGTTTATATCATCAGGATCGAGTCGAGTTTTGTTTGACATGGGCTTATAGCCTGCCGTCATTCATTTGCGGGCTTATATTCAGACTTTTGTGTTACTGGGTCGCACAAATTTCCTGTTGTTATGCTAGGGCTAAATGCTACTTGCACCGTTGTAGTGGAATGTAACGGTGTACCACTACCACCTAATTCATTTTTTATGGAAAGGTTAATATCTAATCATATAATTAATTTTGGTTTGTGGTTTCAGAAATTAACATTATGGACTCAACTCTCAATTATGCACAATATAGACTCAATTGGCCCGACTCGTAAATTTCCGTCAAATTAGACGGTCAACACTGTTGACCGATAGTGAATTAGCATGCTTCGCTGACGTGGATGCCACAAAGGAAATAAAAAATTTAACATTTAATCCAAAATCATATGTTCTTTTATATACTCTTTTACATTTTAAATGTAAATAAAAATAAATAAAAACATCCTTTTCTCTCCTCTCTTCCTCCACCGTGTTGCACCTTCCCCAATCCCCTTCTTCAGTGGTCAAAATCAGTACGGTATCGATATCCCGATTCCAAATACCGAAATCTCTTATACCGAATTACACCCTAAAATCAATCACAATCTCAATCCCTAAATAATTTCGGTATCCCAATTCCAAGCCCTAAATATTTTGGTATCTCAATCGGTACTTCGGTATCCAAATCGATCAAATACAAAATTAATTATCTTTGCAATTAATAATTAAAATATAGAAATTATATTTTATTGCCTAGAGCTAGGATATGGATAAGGAGAACGAAGGAGAGGTGACATCTCAAGTTCTTATCATTGGTAATCTTGAATTTGACGAATTGGAGGTTGAGAGACGACTAATATCTTCAAGCAACTTCATATCAACATACCGTTGGCGGAGGCACTTGAACAGATGCCTACATATGCTAAATTCTTAAGGGAGTTGTTGACAAAGAAGCGCAAATGGGCTGATCTAGAGAAGGTAACCCTTACTTCTGAATGTAGTGCTGTGATTTAGAATAAATTACCAGAAAAGAGGGATGATCCGGGCAGTTTCACCATTCCATGTGTTATTGGAGGTAGAGTGTTCGATAAATCAATTTGTGATCTTGGAGCAGGAATTAATTTGATGCCATACTCAGTCTACAAGAAATTGGGATTGGGAGATGTTCTTAAACCTACTCGGATCACACTCCAATTGGCTGATCGATCAGTAAAAATCCCAAAGGGAGTGGTGGAGAATGTATTGGTGAAGGTAGGGAAGTTTATTCTCCCTACAGATTTTGTGATTCTGGAGATGGAAGAAGATCAAGGAGTGCCTCTAATTCTCGGCAGACCTTTTCTAGCAACTGGTGATGCACTCATCGATGTCGGGAGAGGCAAGTTGACATTCCGACTAGGTAAGGAGGAGGAAATTTTTAATGTCTTTCAAGTTGATCATAATCACGATGCATTTGATGACTTTGAAAGTGGAAGTCGAGAAAGGAAAAATTCCTCCTCCTGTGATAGTAGACCACCAGAAGAACGTTCACATGTCCTAGCAGCTTAAAATCTGAAATCTAAGCAAGGGCAGAAATCCTTGCCAGGACATCTCAAGTATAGATATTTGGGTAAGGATTTCAATCTTCCTGTTATTATTCCTTCTTCACTAACAACGAAACAGGAAGAGTACTTGCTTGAGGTGCTGCAATACCACCTACGCCTCACTAAAGGGTCCAACATGCAAGATAAGAAGGTCATACCAAATTTTCGTACACCTGGCCCTGCAGAGGTGACTCATATGTTAGATGGAGGCTATGCGTTCTATCATTGCTCGGGAGGGTATGCTGGATACCTTTCCATACCCATTGGTTAAAAGCTCCATGAACGTCAGGCTGAAGACGTTAAACAAGCGCTTCTTGGGAGGCAACCCAAGGTAAGTTTTCTTTTCTTTATTTTTCTTTTTAGTTGTGCCAAACCCGTGCATGTTTAGATTAGGAGTTGAACATTAGGGACAATGTTCCATCCCGAGTGTGGGTGGTGAGTCTTAGTGTTGTTTGTCCCTGTTGCATGTGGTAAAAAAAAAAAAAATTTTTGACAGAGTCGGGCTCCTTCCCCCTTCCCCTTCCTCTTCCTCCCTTCTTCCTCTTCCCTCCTCCCCGTCGGACTTCCCCCCAGCAGCAACCGTCGGACTCCGCCAGCAGCAACCGGCGCCGCCCCTCTCCGCCAAGCGCCGGCGAATCAGCCGGCCAGCCCCCTCGCGCGACAACAGCGCCGGCGACCAGCAGCAACCGACCCAAGCCCCGCGCCGCCGCCACTCTCGCCCGCCGCGAGGCCGTCTCTGGCGGTCGTCGCCGGGCCCAGCGCCCCCCCCCCCTGACCCAACCCGCTCCAATCACCCACCTCCCCCCAGGTCTGATTTGAACAATCTAGAGTTGAAGATTCAAGAATAAAAAAAAAATTAGGGTTCTTCAAATTTGGGGTTTTGCTCAATTTCGCATTTGAGGTGAAATTGGAGTGTGATGATTGCTTGATTGGGCCAATTGAAGTGCAATTCCGCCGGATGAATTGGGCACGATTTCCGGAGCTGCACTTCCCCACCTATCCACACCTCACAGAGCATTCTTGGCCACATACAGCTTCGAGGATAATGGGGTTGAGAGCAAGCTTCAGAGTACTTTGGCCGGGAAAACCAAGTCCCCATCTTTGAGCCAAGTAAACCGAGCACTTCTCTTCGATGGTCCAGCAGATGCAATTCCTGATGAAAAGCAGGACTTGAGTGAGTTTTGGACGACAATTGTGGCAGATGGAAAGGACTTCAATCCTACTCTTCGAGGAGAGCATCGATCAGAGACCAAATGATCCCACTAGTACATGATTACCTGGCTCGCACTGTCTTGGGAAAGGGATCCAATGCCAGTGGTGTCTACACGACCGATCTCAGGTACATTCACAGTTTCGTTACTGGAACACCATTGTGTGTTGGGTATATGGTGGGTAAGATGCTTGATAATGATGCACTGAAGACTTGCGGAGCAATTATGTGTGGGGGAATCATTACTGCATTAGCTCGAGCTTACTGGGGGTTCCCATAGAACCCTACGGGTTTGGAGATTAGTGATGGCTCGACTCTGCTTGGGGAAGCAGCATTAGGCAAATTGGGTTTTCTGAGGAAAGCAGGATCTCGTGGAGAGTATCTATCGATCGCCAAATACAAGGAGTGGGAGACCAAGGTCAATCGAAAAGGGCTGCTAGAGCAACTTCTGCTTCGGCATCATCTGCCGCACCATCAGTAGCCACTCCGACCACAGCTCCAGCTCCTACACCCACAGCAGCGGGGCACTCGGCCTCGAGTGTCAGCCAGGGCCAGCAGTCACATCCTCCTCCAGTTCAGCATCCAGAAGAGACTCCACCAGTTGTACCAGCTTCACCATCATTTACAGACGAGCTCAGAGCCAGAATAGCTCTCTTGGAAGCAGAGACGCAGAGAAAAATAAGAAGATCCAGGAGCTAAACCGGCGCCTAGATGAGAAGCTCGGCACTTCTGCATCCACCCCTCCTTCATAGGAGCTTGTCCCGAGGTTCTTTTTTCTTTTCTTTTCTTTTCTTTGTGAATACTACTCGTAGTGAATGGTGGTCTGTATAATGTTAGTTAGGTGAACCTATCGGTGTGTCGTGTGTAGTTGTAGACATTGTGGACAATGTCCATCCTGAGTGTGGGGTGGATGGTCTGTGTTCTTGTCGTGTTTTATGTCGAGTCGTAGTTGTCCACAGTGTCTCGTCTTGTGTTAAAAAAAATCCAAAAAAAAAATTTGCCATTAGGTTGAGCACAGCCAAACTGCATGCAGTTTGCCTGTGTAAAAAGCAGGTTGCCTGTGCAAAGTTAATGGCTAAAAAACACCTAAAAATCAAAAAAATGAAAAACAAAACCTTGTACTCTTGTGGTAACATGATGTAAATGAGTGTGATGCGTGTGAAATGAGTTTGTGCTTGAAGGAAATCATCAAAATCACCCCCACTAGTGTTGAATTTCATGGTTCTTCACAATGAGCTTGAATGTTTTGACTGACTTGATGTGCTTTAAATGAGCAAACTCTTTTAGCAACATTCTCTTTTGTGAGGATAGTGTAATGACTTGTGGTGAAGTAGTTAGGTGGAGAACATTGACCATTCGATATGTTTGGATACCGTGCTTACTTGCACCAATTGTGAGCTTTTGATTTGGCAACGAGTTTCTCTGTTTTGATGGTTTTATGATGGGGTGAACTGTATCTTTATAAATGAGAAAACACTACCTGACAAGTAAAATATAAGAAAGTTGCCATAACAATTAAAGTGTGGGTAAAAATGCCAAAATCGTGTGAGGCAATCACTCATTGCACATGGGGATGAGGAAAGAATCAATTGAGAATCGGTTCGCGACCGTACGATGTTGCTTATCAAGTACGATCCCCAGTTGAGTGAAGTGCCATTAGAGGATGTGTAATGACCCTCCACACGGACCGAGGAAAAGGAGTTCAAAGAAGCCCTTATGCAAGTGCTAAGAAGCAGAAATTGCTCTTGCTCGGTCACCGGTTGTAAGAAACAAATCCCACTTGTACTAAATACGACCTCTCGGCAAGCAAAAGCAGAAAGAGAGAAAGCCTCTCCTTGTCATAAAAGGTAGTGATGTGCTTAAAGTTAAAATCATGTTTGCGAAAGGCTTCCCCCATTAGTTTTTGAGACTCATGCTTAATTAATTGCTTATGATTGGTGTGAGTAAGCCAGACTGTCCTCACGAGATATGCACCTCACTGATGTGGTTAGATTCTCCTAATAATTGTTGCACCATAAGTTGTTAACCACCCACTACCGACGATCGAAATTGAGTGTTGCTATTTGAGTTTTTGATGGATTTGAGGCAGTCAATGGTAATGGTTGTAAAGAACTTGAGTGTGGGGTGAAAGGTATGACCATTAAAGCACAACTTGTCCGTTGAGAA